GTTGTGTACTTAGTTGCCAAGCCTTTGATTCAGAGTGAGGCTAAAGATGACCTTGTTGTGATAGAGACCTGTATCTTTTAGCATGATAACAAAGTGATTTACATTTGAAAGGCAGCAAGGTTTGTATCATAACAAGGTCATCTCTAGCCTCACTCCCGTTCAAAGGCTTGGCAACCAAGCACACAACTGTAAAATGGACTATTGTGGTGTTTTCCACGAGCTTCCGGAAACGAAATCGTAAATACTCCGTGTCCGGCAGTGAAATGTTTCCCGGATATTAAGTCGTTCTCCTCAGTGTATTCGAGCTATAACAGTTGACAGTTACTCGAGTTTCACGCACAACGCGATGAGCTTATGTTTCTGTTTCACTCTACATGTATATATTTGTATCAACACATGTTTATGTTAATGTATGTATCTATTTTCAGGGAAGTACGCAGCCTGGGAGGGTGGTTTGCGAGTGCCAGAGTCCGGGGCGTATGCCTCCCTGAAAATTTCGAAGAATCATGTTTTAGTCCGCATTCCTTGCATTCTGAGGTCTCATTACATCATATGTTTTCTAATAGTTCCTCTTTTTTAACACTCACTCCCCACTAACCCTAACTCTTTGTGGCTCGTGGGAGAAGGAAGGGGGGTTCCAGCAGTCTCGTGAACATAAAATGGTGTAGCTCGAATCTATTGGGTGATCTCCAGTCCGTACTGCGCAGTCTCAACACCCTAATGTTTATAAACATGTCTCACTCGATAGAATGCGAATCAATGTTATTCAGTACGAATGACATACCTTGTCTTTGAGTCTTTTCAGATTCTTTTCCCAACACCTTCATTAATTTTTACAGCTGCGAAGTTGAAAGGAAGCAGGAGTGGCGCAATGGCGAGAGCGCTCGCCTCCCACCAATGTGGCCCGAGTTGGATTCCTGGACCTGGCGTCATAAATGGGTCAGGAGCCCATGGGCTCCTTGTTGCATGGTCCTCGTCCTTGCTCCGAGGGTTTTACTCCAGATTCCCCGGTTTTCCTCCCTGTTAGGAATGTCATGATACCTGTAAGCACTGTTACGTGCCTGTCCTGTTCTCGGAAATCATGAGATTGTAAGACATGTGCTCACAAGTATGTAGTTTTGGCTGGACAGATGTGGATTAAAGTATTTGTTGAGTTTTATCGAATTTTTTATCCTTATGGTCACCTAAACCATTCAACCTTTTCCTAACACTCCCTCCACAAAAACCATCAGTTCTAAATTCTAATTCGATCTTAATGGCCCATTGCAGAAACGAGAGAGGACTGGGACGAGTTTCTTATATTTATTACATTGAAAATCTAAACATTTCAACTGAAATGTTACTGAATGAAAAGCTACCCAGCCAAGTTTGAGAGTTTTCAGTGGAAAAGTGTCGAAATTGGAGCCTTGCAAAAGTTGCAAAAATTCCACACAAACTCTTAAAATTTTTTGCCTATCTACCCAATTCATACAAACTCTCTATTTTAGGTGACATTTGAAAAGCTGTCATTTTGCCATTTTCCTCCTCTAAATACTTGCATTCCTGGTTAATACTCTCAAATTTAGTTGATCTTTCATTTGAATATCTTAGTTTTTCAAACAAACGGAAAACAACTACAATCTTTCCCAGTCCTCTCACGCTTCTGCAATGGCCTATGCATGAACATGTTGTAACGAGCTCATGAGAGCCTCCCTTTTTCATCAAGTGATATGAGAAAGATACGTACCACAATGGCGGTTGACATAAAACTTTGAATTTACCTCATCTAATTAGTTACGAAATGTTATATATTTTTTGATGTCTTACATGAAACAAAACAAACAAACAAACAATTGTCGAGAGTGCACAGTACGGACTGGCCACAAAGGGTTAGGGTTAGGGTTAGGGAGGAGTGAGTGTTAAAAAAGAGGAACTATTAGAAAACATATGATGCAATGAGACCTCAGAATGCAAGGAATGCGGACTAAAACATGATTCTTCGAAATTTTCAGGGAGGCAGATGCCCCGGACTCTGGCGCTCGCAAACCACCCTCCCAGGCTGCGTACTTCCCTAAAAATAGATACATACATTAACATAAACATGTGTTGATACAAATATATACATGTAGATTCAAACAGAAACATAAGCTCATCGCGTTGTGTGTGAAACTCGAGTAACTGTCAACTGTCAACTGTTATAGCCCGAATATACTGAGTAGAACGACTTAGTATTCGGGAAATATTTCACTGCCGGACACGGAGTATTACGATTTGGTGTCCGGGAGCTCGTGGAAAACACTGCAATTCACGGCAGTTTCAAAACTGGTAATCGTGCTCTTTAGCCATGTAAACAACAATAACACGGCCTAGAACCGCACTGCACAACTCGAGTCTGGGTATGCTCGATGAGCGGGTGGGTGCGATTTTGGATCGTCCGAACAGGAGTGAAACACTTATGTCTCCTCCAGAACTGATCTCTCGCAAGTAGACAGCAGTTCCAAATGGCTTCCTTGCTTGCGTCGGAAAACGCGTGTATCTCTCTTCGTTCGATGGCGCCAAATCCTTCGGGGTGGTAGCATCGAGGGATGTATACCTCCTCTAGGTTGGGGAGGTCATCTCTCCAACGACTCAAGCGTTTTTTCATATTCTCCGGGAGTGGATCGTCCCAGCCAAGGGGATTGTTGTCGTTGGCCTTCTTTCCCATGAGGACGAGTTGCTGTAGGATTAGCTTGCCTTCCAAGATTACTGGAGATGCGAGCGCGAGTGGGTCGTACACAGAGTTTATAGTCGACAGTACTCCTCTCCGTGTAAAGGGCATTTCTGGCAATGAAACGCGGAAAGTGAATTCGTCCTTCTCGATCTCCCAATGGACCCCGAGCGAACGCTGTGTTGGCAGTACATCGCGACGCAGGTCTATATCGCTGACGCTCTTAGCACGATCTTCCGCAGGCAGTGCCTCCATGACGCCCACTGAGTTGGAGACGACTTTGTGTAATCTTAGGTTTGCAGCGGCAAACATGGCTTGGGCGTTTCTGATTAGCTCAATGGTTTCGCTCTCTGTGGGACATGAAGTCAACCCATCTTCTACGTAAAAGTTTCTATAAACGAAATCTCTCGTTGCCTTGCCATACTTCTCCTCGCCGTTATCTGCCGTCTTCCTTAAACCAAAGGTGGCAATGCGGGACTGGGTCCATTGCCGAACAAGTGAACGGTCATCTTGTACTCGATAACTTCTTTCGAAGGATCGTTACCTTTGAACCATAGGAATCGAAGAAAGTTCTGGTGCTCTGGTGACACGTGGAACGAATGAAACATTTGTTCGATGTCGCACATCGCGGCAACGCTTTCCTGACGAAAGCGCATCAGTACGCCAGTAAGGCTATTCTTGAGGTCCGGCCCGGGGAGTAGTTCTTTGTTCAGTGAGACTCCATGAAATTCGGCTGACGAATCAAACACAACACGAATTTGGTCCGGTTTTCTGGGGTGATAAACCCCGAAGTGTGGTAAATACCATACTTGACCTCCACTTCTGATAGGTGCCATCTGGTCCTGGTCTTGTTGGTCGTGTTCGTTAGGTTCGTTCTTCTTCAGGCAAGTTGTTACCGACAACTCCTCTCGAAGGACAGGAACTGCATGGCCGCGCTCAAAAACCTTGGCCATAAACTGGAGGTAATCTTCCTTCATTTTGGGTTTCTTCTTCAAGGTGCGTAGCAGGCTATTGAGACGGTTGACAGCTAAGGATCGATTGTCGGGCATCGCGAAATTGGGGCGACGAAAGGGTAGCGGCATTTTCCAGTTTCCACTCTGGTTTTTCTGTATTCCCGTCTCCATGATATCCAAAAAGCGTCTGTCTTTTCGCGACATGCTCACCATGTTGTCGTCTGGTGTTGTACGGAAGAGATCGGCTCCAATTTCTCCTTTCTCCGCGTATCTTTCTCTGATCTTGTATTGGTTAGGACATGGTACGATCTCGTGCTTCGCGGAATTGCAGCGTATATCTTCGCTGCTCCAAGAAAAACTGAGCGTTGGGTCTGGATATTCGACTGCTGTGCGACGCGCGGAAATGTGAATGGGACCGCCCACTCGATTTAGACACATTTGACCGGATACTGTCCACCCTAAGTCGAGTCGTTGCGCCCACGGGGCTCCTTTGGGACCATTCCTGCTCTCCCTGATCTTCAGTAGCTCAGGCGCGTCCCTGCCGATGAGAATTTCAACCTTCGCTTTGTGGTCGTAAGCCGGGATCTCTTCAGCGATCTCTTGAAGGTGTGGAAATTGTCTAGCCATTTCCGGTGTGATAATCTCTCGTTTGTCCTGGGGGATGTTAGTAAACTCGACGAGCTGGAGTAGTCTTGACATTCTGCCTGCCATAGAACGTAAGAGAACGCCGGAAACTGTTCTCCCAGACTTCTCTTCCTTCCCGCCACCGCAGGTCGACAGTAAATATTTTAGGCTAGGTCCGGTTGCGCCCAATTTGTCCGCTATCCGTTTATCATGGAGGCGTTGCTCTGGTCGTCTAGAACTGCGTAAACACGACACGGCTCTTGTGCTAGATTCTCATTGAAAACGTCGACTAGAACGATTTTGCTACAAGAAACGCCGACGCTGTGAGGGTCGCGACAAACGGCTGTGCAGGCTGTTTGGACCTCCTCGCCGTGCTCTCTTCTTGTAGCTTAAGGCTTCTCCTTGTGGAGGACTGTGGCGTGGCGACCATCTCCACACTTAGCACATTTCACTACTGCAGAACATTCGGTTGATCTGTGTCCTTGCGTCAGACAGGGGAAGCATAGTCCTACTTGGCGAATGAACTCGTCCTTGGCTTCCAGGCCTTCCTTTTCGAAGGCTTTGCACTCGTTTAGAAGGCGTCCTTTCCGCTGGTGAAAGGGACAATACTTCTCCTCTTCAGCCTCCCCTCTTAGCGCGTTTCCGTTCTCCATGTTTGACTTGAAGACTCTCCTGTTTACTTCCAGCTCCATTTTAGGTGTATGGGGAAGGCGCGGTCTATTCTCTTGAGTTCTTTGTTTCTGGTTGTTTGGTTGTGTGCTCGCCAAAACATTGGGGTGGTTTTTTAACCGGGCTTGATCTTGAACCATGGCGGCGAAATCCTTGAAGCCGGAATACGCATCCCCATATCTTTCCGCGTAGTGTACCACACGTTTCTCCCACTTAGATCGAATGGACAGGGGCAGACTTTCCACGATGGGGGCAATCGGTGGGGTAGTTCAGGGATCCGAGCCCTGGAAGGAAGTCCAATTGACTATCCACGTCGGCACAAACCATGAGGTGTTGCACAACGGCACTCCAATAAAGTGTATCGATTATAACTTTTCACTTTCGCGTTCCCGAACCAAGTCCTTGCGGGAAGTATTGATCCGGAGTTCGCCGAGTTCAACTACACACTACAGGCCTGATTTTAAACCCGATTTATTCCTTGGTTACCACTGAAGCATGCGGTGAAAACTACAACATTAAAAAATTTACGCGTTACGCAACGGAATAGCTGCGAATAGTGAGAACTCTCCGTCAACGAACGAAATAAGCGGCAGAGGATAAACTTAAATTAGAAATAAGCGGCAGAGGATAAACTAAAATTAAGCTTACGTTATAATTCCTGCTGGCTGTGTGAAGGCAAAAAAGATTTCTCCAACTCCTAAATTTCTCCGTAGAAGCGACGAACGCGTGTATCTTAAAGCTTCCTAAGGTCGTTCCCGTTACAAAGGTCGTGAAAAGATCGGGTTACGGGGTTGCGAAAGATGGCGATGATTAACTAAATTACACAGTAAAATCACGTGCGTAACGGAAGTGTGTTGCATTGAGTGTAATGACTTAATACTCGGGAAAATATTCGACTGCCGGGCACCGAGTATTTTCAATTTCCTGTCCGGAAGCTCGCGGCGAGCTTCAAAGTTATGAATACCGGCATACCGGTTGCCAAGCTCACAAAAACTCACACTACGGGGGAAATGGTGAAGTTTTCAGCCATATAAAGAAGGCTTTGTTATCATTAACTGAAAATTAAAAAAGAAATTGACTGCCGGACAAGGAGTATTTTGAAAACAATGTCCGGCTGCCGGACATAGAGACACAGCGGGTTTGTTTTGTTTCGAAAATAACCGCTAAAATTTTAAATCTCAGTTAAGCTGAGCAGCAGAAACGACAAATGTTGATCAAAGTTAACTTTTTATTCAGATTGGTAACGATATTTCGCTCCCAAAGCGGTCTGTTATTTTCTACACGTGCGCATTGTTGATTTTTCAACTCCAATTGCGTGACAAGGAACGGCGCGTTTTGACCTCTGAGTCACTTTTGCTTGGGGTCCTAAAATTTGGTAGTTTGAGTAGCCCAAAAATTTATTGGAGTTATTTGAGGTAGAAACTTTGTTGATATATTCAAATTATCTTCTACAAATAGCTCATCCAGACCTATATTCTGGCAAAGTTTGGGGATTTTCGATTTTTTCATATTGCACACCTCCGGGCGATATTTACGGACGGCCGCTCATAACCCAGTGGAGTATAAACCTACTCCAAAACATTTTTATCTGATATTTTCGTAGTTAAATAGCTATTGACTCCCAATATGTTTGTCTGATTACGCGTGAAGAAGTTTTGTTTATATATTATTCAATTGTTGCACTCGCATAGCAACAAAGTCAAACAAAGTCCAGCGGTCTTCTCCTTCCTCTCGGATAAGTACTTGGTGTGATCCTTAATGTATGTTAATGATTGCAAATGACCATGTATTTTCCTCTCGTACTTTTCCCAGGATTCGAACAGCAGTGCCTGGGAGTTTCTGTACTGCCTCCGCTGGACCCGCTTTAATTTCTTGTCCGGGAAAAGCCTGACGGTAACGGCTGCCAGTCTTGCCTCTCCTTCTAGGAGTTAGATTGAGCAATACAAGGACAAACCACGTTGAAAACCAGCATGACGATCGAGCGCATTGTGCCCCCCTCGATATCATTGTTGGTTCCTACGACTTGTCGGTATACGCTCCAATTCTTCGGTGGGAAAACCGAACTTTCGAGCCAATGGTGTTTAACGTAGCTCACGAGGTTATCGGCCATCGGTTTTCAAAGTCTTTTACAAACACGATCAGCCGTCGAGGAAATGAGAGATTGGGGAGAGCGAAACGAACACCCGTCACCCGTGAATACATCATAAGTAAAATTTTATTCCCATGGTCATTTGTAATTACAATTCTTTCGGACGTGGGCGAACTGACATAAAGGCGTTGGCGAACTGACATTAGACGTTGGCGAATCGACCTCATAAGTTGGCGAACTGACGTTGACGAACTGACATGTTGGCGAAACGACCGGTTGAAGTTGCAGCCGAGGATAAAGTAGGCAAGCTTAGAAGGAAACCAAGAAGATGGCAGACTGAGTTCAATAGAATATTCTTCTTCTCTGATTTGCCTTGGACTTGGGAGTGAATTTTATTTTTACACTTTTACACTTTTACCCCCATTGTTGAATTTTCAAAGCATTTGAAAACCATTTTGGAACGGTTAGGTCACTTTACGGAATTAAAAAATGCGGGAAGTTGTATATGTACTTTTAATGGCGGGGAAAAACAGATGGTATCTGGAGCGTGCTTGTTTCAGTGATGAAGATTCTACACAATACCGTTAAGGCATTTTATTAATTCTCCAGGTAAACACGCAACACACGCTATAATCAAAATCGTTAAAAGTTATGTTTGAAAGTATCGATAGGTGAAAATATACGGGCTTAACATATGCAAACAAGTTTCTGGACATTATGTACTAAAAATCTGGCTAAGACTTCTTAAGATAACTTCCGAAAAAAAAAAAAAAAACACTCTGCGAAGCCGATGCTAATGGTCTGGTACTCCATTATATAAAAACATTTAAATAAAGATAGTAACCCTCCGTAAAAGAAACAAACAAGCAATAAATGTTAACACCAAAAACTTTAAAAGGAATGTAACAACGGCAGTCTTTCAAAACGATTTAATTAGTGCCTTCCTTTGCGATCACGTCATCCTCCGGCATGTAAGCAGCATTGTTTTGTGCTGCCGGCTCATCAGCTTTGTTGCTGTTCGGAAACCGTTGCGTTCTGCGATACTTGACCAACAAAACAGCCAGAGCCAGAAGTGCGACCAGTCCAAATCCTCCAGCTCCTGCCACACCACCGATCAAAACTGTATGTATGCCCTGCTTGGGCTCTATAAAGACAAATGAGAAATGAAATGTCTTAAGAATAGTGACAGTTTCCGTCAGTGCCGAGGATCAATGGACATACTACATTGACGAATGCCTATTTCTAGAATCTACCTTTGGATTCTTCTTTTTCTTTTGCCTCCTCGAACACTACGGGTCCATCTGTAAGGATGACTTTGTTCGTACTTTCTTCTTGCTCTCTCCTCTTTCTCTTGTTCCTCACACAGCCCTTGCTACATCTGCAAAAATGTAAGTTGGGTTTTGAGACACAAAAGACTGATGTTATGAAATAGGTCGTTGTTCATCGTGGTAGGTGGATGATAATATAAATTTGTTCTGTTGTCTCACAACAAAGTCACTAGATGTAGAACGCAACGTTTCGACTGCTTACTGCAAGTCTTCTTCAGGTAGGGTCGTCTGGTTGTGGCCCAGCATTATGTATCATGGTGGTCTGTTGTGATTAGTGCAATAGGCCTTTTGCAGGAGTTGATCACGTGATCGATCTCCCCATAGCACCGTCATGCTGACAGGCAAGCTCTTCTCCGTATTGCATGACAACCAGCTGTTATCTTTGTCTCCAAGAGTGTCTTTCAATAGCGTTTAAAGTAATTTTAAGGTCAATCCTGGCCCTTTTCTTTTACAGCTGTAATCTCTTATTGCCTGTGCTCAGTGTACTGTGACTTTTGTGAGAGTTTTGACGAATTTAAGAGAGTTTTGACGAGGTTTCGACTTTGCGGTCCTAGCGCCAACAAGACAAACATGGCGGACTCAACAACGAGTAAGTATCGCAAGTTCTGCCGTAGCTCTTAACTTTTTTGAAATGTTTTATGAAGAATAGCAACAACTTATAAACATTCTTTCTTTAAACAGCCAGTCATGGGACTAAAGACCTTTCTTTGGATCCGACGTCTTAGAGACAAGAGTACAACTTTGAATAATTTGCTCCCATTTTAGGTTTCTTGACAAGAATGTCTTGAATTTGCTTTTGTTCGATTATTTCCCTCTTAGAGTGCATGCTCCATCGCTGGTTCATACTAGTACATGTCAAGTCATCAGGTAGAGATTTGAGACCAAGTTGTTTACAGTGTGTCAGGTAGAAAGACAAAGCAATGGTGTAATGGCAATATCCATCTATTCCAGCAACACAACGGCATTTCCCGCTCAATGATCTATCTGTCAACTCAACATTTGCTGAGATATTATGCGGGGACTCAGTTTTTTTCATTTATCTAAAGCATTTGACTGACATACCAGCATAGTCAGCTGTGTAAGTAACTGAATTGAGAAAGAAAATACGCTTATCAGAATAATGCATCACCGTGACGAACGGAAAAGAGATTTCCAAACTGTTCGCTCAAAACGTTTTGTGATCACGTTGTAACTTTAAAATTAAACAATGCAAAGCCTTTTTCCTATATTTTAGTCGGAAAGAAACACTTTTATTCCGTTTAGATACCCAGGTTTGGCGAAAAATTTGTACGCTTTCACTGTTTAGACATCCAGACTTTTGTTTGGCGTAAGTCTCGACGTCAGCGAACGTCAAATTCGGAATAAAAGACAATTCTTGAGTCCCATTAGCTGCTAAAAGAAAAATCGTTTTAAACGTTTTTACTATTCTTAAGAAAACATTTCAAAAAAGTTGAGAGATACGGCAAAACTTGAGATACTTACGTTGTTGAGTACGCCATGTTTGTCTTGTTGGCGCTAACATCGCGAAGTCAAAACTCTCTTACATTCGTCAAAACTCTCACAAAAATCACAGTACACTAAGCACTGGTAATAAGAGATATCCAGTTGTAAAAGAAAAGGATTAGGATTGACTTTAAAATCACTTTAAACGCTATCGAAAGACACGCTTCGATACAAAGATAACAGCTGGTTGTCATGCAATACGGAGAATAGCTTGCCAGTCAGCATGGCGTTGCTATGGGGAGATCAGTCAGGTGATCAACTCCTGCCAAACGCCTTTTCGATAGGGCTATTGTTTCTATTTACCGTGGTTTCCTCAGGCGTTCGCTGATTTTTTGTGCGTCGTTGGTTTTGATGATTTCTTATTGTAGGCATCTACGCTCCCGGTATTTCGGCTCCGTTGTCCCTGTTTATTTTGTTTGGATTGAGTCTTACGTGAATTGCCTCTTTCACTTTCCTTGTGTACCAGTGGCTGTCTCGGTCGATAAGTCCACAGCGGCTTGTGTCCAGTTCCGTTAGCATATTCTGAAACTGCATAATTCTGAGTGCGTGCGAGCCGTATATCCCCCTCGTGTTCTTTCATTCTTTCTTCCATGGGTCCTCCTGTTTCCCCGAAGTAAACTTTGCTGCATGTGGATGGTATATTGTAGACTACGCCATCTTGCTTGCTTGGGTCAGTGGAATATTTTGGTCTGGCCACCCAAGATCTTAGTGAGGTGTCAGACTTAAAGACGGTGCGTATTCCTTGTTGCTGTAGGTGGTGGCAGAGGGTTTCTGAGACTCCTTTGATGTATGGCAGCACTGTGGTAGACTTGAATTCTGCTGTTTTCCTCTCTGGTGTTGGATTCCTGGTTTTGGTCACCTTCTGTAAGAAGGAATCTTTAAGTCCGACACCACACTAAGATCTCGGCTAGTCAGACCAAAAGATCCCGCTGACCCAAATTAGCGAACGCTTGAGGAAACCGTAGTACACGGAAACAATAGCCGGATCGGAAATGCACCAATCACAACAGACCACCATGATATTTAATGCTGTGCCGCAACCAGTCGACACCTCCGCCTGAAGAAGACTTCACTATGCCGTCGAAACGTCGCGTTCTACATCTAGTGACTTTGTCGTGAGACAACAGAACAAATTTATACTATCAAACGAAAGACTGTCACATGGAAGAGAAGTACAGGCGAGTGATCGTGAACGCATTCCTTTTCAAACATTCGCTGATACTTTAAGCCATAATGGTGAATATTGACCTGAAATTAGACGATTTAATTCTCCATTACTCTATGGGAGCCGTGTAAGCCATCGAAATCGATCATTTGTTAAAATGAATCTAGCAATTGCTGCCTAGAGTCTGTGGTTTAGGGGGAAAAGGTAGAGCATCGAAGCGTGGAATCCGAAGCTCTGACGTTCGATTCCTTATGGAAACTTCGAATTTTTACTTTGTCACACACGTGACAAGACGAAAAACATCTTTCTTCAAAAGTATTATGAACAGACTTAATGGTGTATGATAGCTATTTCCACTTTAGTCTGGAACAAAAGGTCCACTTTGGAGACCTAGCAGGGTCATTGTGTTCTTCGTTTTACATTGTCTGTCCCAATCAAGCGTCTTATACCGTTACGGGTAAGTGGGTCGGATATACCTGTGAGCACTCCGAGCAAGTGGAATCACAATACCCCTGACTCCCATTGCTTTGAAAACCGTGAAGGGTTGGGATAAACTATGGCTGTAAGAGCTTAGTCCACTTAACTACGCTTTCTTTTTGTTGCAAAGTGTGACATCCTCGTGGGAGATGGAATAAAATTCATGGCTGCAACATTTGGCAGTTCATCAAAAGAAGACTTCTCTCTGAAATTTAAAACAGGGCCATTTTTCCCAACTTCGCTTGTTTACAATATAACTGAAATCTCCGAACTAACCTAGAATTAGGAGAATTACGGTGACAGGCCAGCAGCTCACAATGGAAGAACACAGTGGCGTAGTCGTTCCAAAATCTAAGCGTTTTTATTTTAAATTGTTGGTACTGTCGTGTTGGATCATAACTGTAGTCAAGCGTTGAATCTTTGGGGCATCTTACAATTGGAAAAAACAATAATAGCAACAGCGAGTTAATTGGGTTGTCTTGTGAAACTTGGAGCATCAATTAAAACTAAAATCAAAGAGAAAGATCGCACCGTCGGCAAGATTATCATTACTAGAAAAATAACATTGAAAATAGACGTGCACGTTTATCAGTAACGACTCGATTGAAGCGAGCTAGCCTTTTCATCAATTGGTCTTATCAATAAAGTCAAAAAGAAAATAGTCAAATTACAGTAGGGATCATACTTTATCTAGCCTGCAGAACAATGTGCCAATTTTTTTTTTTCGTTTTTCCCGCAGGCAGAAGGCCCACTCCCTTCACGCCTTTTTTCCCCTCGCGTTCGCTCTGCAGACGTAGCTTAGCTACTAGCTCAGATATTGGCAAGGCTATTCTTGATAAGGGCACAGTGATCTACTAACCCGTTTCGTAAGAAGGTGTATTGAGGCCAAGAATAAAAACTTGCGTCCTTAGTCGCCTTACAGTTCTCAGCCATGATGACCAGGTCAGCAGTGGACACCACACTGTACTGTAAATACACATACTCATTCAGAGCCACTGATAGAGGGTAGTCCTGCTTCGTGAAGTGCGTGGCAAAAGACGAGTTCTTATAAAAGTCCATCTTGAAAGTAAACGTACCATATCCCGCTAAACAATGAGTACAACGTAAGAAAAAGACAATTATATTATATTCGTTTTTTTTTTTTATCATAACGTGCAGTTAAATAGGTATTGGTAAGGTTGATTGTTCACTCAATCACATTGAATGTAAACAAGCCAGAAATCCAGAGGTCTCAGTTTCAATACAGTTGAGTTATGACCGTAGTTCAAATCCTCCAATACACCTTGAAAAAACTCAGAGTTGAGATTTTGAACTTTTCACCCTTAAGATAAATTTTGAATTTAGTGTCGATTGTCATCCTGGTATTATTGGTTTGCTCTACGATACTTCATGAAATAGCTCTTTATCTACATCTACTTTAGTGTCCCCAGGTAGCATTGGTGGGAGAGGGGTATTCTAATGTTCCGAGGCAACAAACTTCACAGTGATTCTTTTCCACCTAGGAATGCAAATGGGTACTGGCAAACTTTTAGGGAAAGGGGATAATACCTGTAATAAACTAGCATTTCGTCCAGTGGTTTGGCAATTATTTTTTGTGCTTCCTGCTAAATTGACTGAGATAAACCCCATTTTAACCTTAACCAACCAACACTGAGGTTTTCAATACATCGAAATCTCAATAAACTTATCTATTTCATTTCATTTGAGTTACTTTCATTCCCGACGTAAATCCTCTTTGGTGTGAAGGACAGGCTTAGAAGCTTCTTTCTGGAGTATCGGCAGTAAAATGGCAGTTTTATATCATGTGAACGGGTAACCACGTTGTCGATGATCAAAGCGTCTGCATGGACCTCATTGGAAAAGATCAGAAAATCTCTGGTTTCGTTCTGCAGCGTTCCGCAACTATCTAAAGTGGTGCTGATCAAGAAGTGGGTGGAATTCTCGGTGCCTTTGCATGAAGCATAACGCAAGCGTAGTTGATTGGCTTGAAAGTAGTGGAATCTGCGCTTTTCCAAATACACCGTCATTTTGTTATCCCCGCACGAAACACTTGCAGTTTGGTCTAAAATCCAAAAGGTTTACAGACTTAAAAATAATTTTAAGAAAATAATTTTCAAAACTCCCTCTGTTACTGGTAGACAGAAAGAAGGAGGCAAAAGGCAACTCTAAAAAAATTCAGTCGGTGTCAAACGTCCAAAGAAACATTTCGTCAGAAAGAAACAAACACACAAACAGACATCAGTCACTACTCACCAACACAAGTCAAATTGTTTGTCCCCATAGTTAATCCTTTAGGACATCCGCAGTAAAATGTTCCAGGGATGTTGAAGCAATTATGACTGCAACCACCATTATTGCTGGAGCATTCGTTGATATCTAAGAAGAAGTTGACTCGTGAACAACTCACTTTAAGAAAATATCGTTATAATATCTTAAAAGAGCTAACGGGTAGGGTCCAGACTGAGGTTTGGGAGGTGAGGAGGTAGAGGTAAGGTAGCTAAGTGGTTAGCGCATGGAATTCCGCCCTAGACTTCCGCGTGGGATGCAAGGCTTGATTGGCAGGAGGAATGCGAGTCTGTCCTTGTTCTCGTGCCCAGGAATTTCAGACTTAAATGGCCGCGCTAAACCCTGAGTATGCATTGGGGGGTTGCAGCCTTTCTCAGTATTTTCTGTATTACAGAATAGGAAAACCTATTGCGCGCCTTATTAATTAAATAAATCTTTGCAATCTTAATCGAAAACCGGCTTTTTATACCCTCATCTAGTTTCTTCAAGTTTCTATCGTCTATTTACTACGTATCTAATGTCGTTTCATTCCGCGTTCACAACGATGAAGCCCTCGAAAAAAGGTCGTCTTGCACGATGGAAAGCCGCCGTATTTTTTGACTGACAAGATCAATTTAAAAGTTTGATGAGGAAAATTTATAAATCACATAGATGATTATTCTATCAAATAAATAATCGATTTGCTTCTTGCCTTTGCAAGATTTTCCTTCCGACTGCAGTTGATATCCACTTGCACAAGAACAGCTGTAATTTCCCGGAGTGTTGCGACAGATCTGATCACAACCTGCTGGTAACATGAATTCTGGAAATATTTTTGACTGGGCGGAGGCTTTCGAATGCACTGAAGAGGAAAATTAAAATAGGTTATTCAAGGGAAATCGTGGGATGGGTGGATTCAACAGGGTAAAAGGCTTTTCAAACGTCAAACGACAAATATGACAATTTAAGCGGAGTAGTTTTCCATTGTCCTACTGGTGCAAGGTTATGCAAACTGATTTTACGTAGCAAAAAGTAGATGCAAAGAAGGGTGTGCTCTTTGAGAGATTTTACATCCAAAAAGCACGAGCAAACGACTCCATGGTGAAACGTTTATTCCGAGAAAGATGTAGCAACTCACCGTCGGAACTTGTGTAGGCGCATTCATTTATATCTGAAAGAGAAAGGATAAATAATTAATCAGCCTGGCAACCACTTGGTGAATGACACATAGAGACCTACGAATGGATTGATAGGATTGATGGATAAATGAGAGATTGGTGTCTCTTGAATGTAAAGAATAATGCCATGCTCTTTGGTGAGTAACATATGCCTGTGGTCTCAATTCTTTCAAGGTACTTTGCATAGTTCATGGGAGTTTCCAGGTTAACAACATAAGAGCTAATGTATTTACGCAGCTATACGAAGAAAATAGGTCGGATCTGCATGACTCATATATATTATAGAATTTCGGCAGAAAATTTAATACATTTACCACAAGCGTACCTACACAGCCACGAAAGTTTGGCAAACTAAGAGAATATCCAAGGGGACATACACCATTTACATTGAATGTCCAGGCACTCAAGGATGATATTCCGGGTGTAGGAGTACCGCCAGAAGAACAGCCCTGTCCAGCCACTGCTCCCTTGTCCATTAAGATTGCGTATGACCCTTTCATGCTCAACACAGGATAAGGTATGGCAAAATGCAGTGTAGTTGAATTACTACCAACCGTGACATTTCGAGAGCGTGCGTCCACTTTGTAAACTGTTTGTCCACTGGGCAGCAAGACGAGTCTTATGTAGGACGATGTTTGAGCTTTCTTGATCTGTAGGGAATAACCATGAGAGGTCTCGGCCCTAAAAATTAATTCTGAATCTTATAGGATACATTTACAGCGTTGGGAGTATCCGTGTATATCAACTCATTTAAATCTTAAGTTCCTTCATTTTGCCCAAATGCGCGAAAACTATAAAGTTCGAATACACTTATAACAGGTACAATTGAAGAGAAATTTTAGTGTTAGCATAGGCATATCCGTGAAGATTAACTTCGTCCACCGTTTCAGTTGGGAAGTCCCGAATATTGTAGTTTGGTCACCGGTTTTTATGGAGAGAGTAAAACTGGGAAATACCCTGTATTAAAGGAGGAAATTCACCAGAAAAACTGCGAACCTTTTTTAATCCAGGTTCCACTAAATAGAGACACTTCTATTGCAGACGAGTGCTCTCACCTCTGAAACATCACAACTTCCCTTTTCATGAGCTATGCTTTAAACAGAGCCCATCTTTTCCCGTAGTTTATGTAATTTCATGTTTAAGATCAAGGCGAAATATTGCATGAGAACAGTAACATGGGAAACGATATCAAGTGCGATATATTCTTAACCTGACTTTGAATAGACTTAGGTAAAAATGCGTTGGTAGAACAATCAGGTCTACAAAAGAAGGCGAATGAAGACTTAACCTTTTCGTCTCTGAAGCGCGGAAGTGGGACCTATTACGACCAAACTTACCTCAATTTTGCCGAAAGAGATTAATGAAGAACCGCCTCACAAAATTTAGGTGGAATAAGTGCCTGAATGCTTCTAAATGCTTCTGATAACGCCATGTCCTTATCACTGAGACCAATAGTTACAAATACGTTATCCTTACCGATCGGTCAAACTGGACATCGCAGTCGACATGACCTGGTCCGTATCTGCTGACAAGTGTTTTTGGTGTGCGGCTTGATAAAATGACTCGGGGAGTACTGCCTAGAAGATAGTTGGAGGAAGAATTCTAGAAGCAAAAACACCCAACAAAGGGAAAATAACTGGCTAAAATTCTTCCGGAAGCGGATATGAAAGTTTGATCTGGAGGCCTCGAGGAGTTTTACACAACAGTTTGCACAAAAGACGAGGAAGATTACGAGCGTGAAAGCCGTGTAATAGTTACTGCTGTTGACTTACACCTAACAGAGAAAGAATACAAACGCTCAATTATTCTTGAGAGAGATTTTGAAAGTTTGAAGCAAGTTCTTGAGGGAAAGCCCGACAAATCCTGCAACAAGGCAAAGGCAAGCGGCCGAACTAATGAGGCCTGACACGAAATAAAAACAACTCAAAAGGAAACAAAGTCATATTTAGGCTAGCCTCTGAAAATTCACTCGTGCTGATTCATACTGAATTGCACCCGAAATCATGAGATTACCAATACGCATAACAATAATTTCGGTACTCTCATTAAAATAGTATTGTTAGACCCGTTATATTTGAAGTTCTTCCTGAGGATGTATATATAATGTGCTTACTAATGCCAACAAGGATTGTCACACATCGCCAAGCACTTTCCAGACTGCGAAAAGAGAAGATAACTTAGAATAGTACATAAGATTTGGCCACGCTGCATATATATGCTGAGGGAAAAACTCGGAAACAACAGATACTTTATAGATGTGATCATAAACATGTGAGAAATCCCCTAACTGCGAAATGCGGTCATAGTGCATTAAAGGTGATATTCTAAGTTTTTGATAAATCTGCACCAAATGTCTTGTCAGGGTCAATTTTGTTTTCTTCACTGAATAATTCGCAAAAAGAAAGTGCAACAGTCTTGCCGCTTCAATTTCTTGCTTTACGAATGTACGTTTTCGACTTGAAAGCTGCCGATTGTTCCCTTACATTTTGGTGGGTTGATGTTCGTAACAGCCTTAGTTCTTACCCTGCGGAGTCCACTGCTTTAAAGCAGAACAACTGTTGTCCAATTTGATACTGACTTGGGTACCAGGTGACATTTCTGTAGTAGATTTTTCCCTGATTGCGTAAAGAGGTAAGCTGCATTCCAGATGGAGAAGCAGTAGTTATTTCCACAATTCTGAAATAACAGAATCAGATAACTTGTTGCACAGATGACAATGCCGCAAATTCTGCGATTCTTTCCAACTTATATTATTTTTCAAAATGATTTTTCGTCGTGTATTCAGTTCTATTTCAGTGAAATTTAAAGGAATGATTTCATATTAATCTGAATGTCGGAAACACGCTCGTTTTAGGAAATCTTTTATAGCGTTATTAGACGGGGAAGGCTGTATGGTATTGTATGTTCGTTGGCTATTTGAATTCTTTTTTATGTTTAAACAACCGCAAATGAAACATAATGTTAAGACTTGGAAGCTTATGGCATGCATCGCACGGTGGCCTTTTTTTTGTATCTTACACTTTTTGTGATTGAATTATTTACCACAGTAACGTCTTTTATATTATCGAATGCGTATGAACGCCTAGCGATCAATTTTGCAAAATGAGACTTTTTGCAATTAAGTACCTACAAAAAAAGCGAATCATTTAGAAAAACTGTTTTAAACTGACGGAGGTTTAAATTAAGATAAAGATCGTAAATTTTCGTAGTTATAGATTCTTTAAAGCGTGTCACCCTATTTTGCTTAAGAGATCCTACAAAAGAAATATTGTCCCTTTCTTGGAAAAAAAAAGGAAAATCATGAAAAACAACAAATTCAGTTGACATACGATTTGGAGAAGTCTGCAACCTGTACTTCAATCACTGCTTTATATGCAGAACCAATCGGGACATCAAAACACCCACCATCTTTAGGGGTAGATGCAGTAAAGACAGGCTTTTCAGCACAGTGACCAGTATGATTACCAATCACCATAACAAGAAACTGTAATGGAATACTGCTGAATGGTGTGACACTCCCGAAGTTTTTTGTACCCACTGGGTAGTCTTCTAAAGTTAATGCTATTGCATAGATTCCGCCAAGTGCTGCTTTCGATCCATTGTATGTAAGAACACACGATGTCTGTAAGGGTAAATTAACATTTACTTCATAAAACTCCAAAGTTGCTATCAAACTAAGATGAGATTTGAAGAGAATAAATACACGAAAAGATAAATGTAATTAAGTTGAGGTTTGCTGTGGCATTTCTTTAGGATGTCTTTTCGTCTACCGCGCGTTTTCCTGGTTGGATCGACATTCGAGGGAAGCCTATCCGAGCAAGGAAAAAAAGAAGACAAACTCAACCCTCATGTGACAAATTTGGGATCCAAAAACAATGAATGCAGTAGTAGCTTAGCACCTTTATCACTTACTGACCCTTACTCACTTCCTAGCATCGCGGCACATTTCCTTTAAATTTTTTTTTCGTACTTGAAATGAATCCAGTTATTGCTTACCTCATTTAGAACGCCGTAAGGAAAACTTGTGTTTAATTTGAGGGATTCGGAATAAGTCGCAAAGCGACATTTCACTGTATCTCCATCCGGGTCTTCAACTGGGATCCTAAATGACTGACGACAACCTCCCGGAAATTGAACAATGGGTGGGCTTCTTGTTACAGGAGACGAGTTAATTTTTCCGTTCTCTGATCGTGGGGAGAAACTTATGGTGGTTTGTACTTTCCAACTTGAGGAACCAGCGTAATGACTCAGAGAAATCCAACAGCAACCTGAATAACTTATAGGAAAAGAGAAATAGCAAATTTATTGTGAACTTCTTGGTGTTATTTTCCCTTTGACCTTTGTTCATTCAGCCTTATCTGGAGGTTCTGAAGTTAACTTCATTCTCGCTTCCCTTTGGTATAACATTTTCTATTTTACCACATTTTGTGCACAATGTAAGCTAGATTAATGTTCTACATTTTAATATTTTGAATCTCCGTCATACTTGAGGTTAAACCTAACTTGAGAACGTTGTCTAAAAAATTATCGACTATATTGGATGTGAACCTCGCCGCTCCCAAAACGTGCGGTACGACAATCTACATTGACAAATGAAATTCCTATGTGAAATTTTTCGAATTTATTTTGCCGTTATCGAGTCGTGGAGAGAAACTTATGGTGGTTTGTACTTTGCAATCTGACGAACCGGTAGATTAGTTGAGAGGTATCCAACAGCAGCCTGTAAAACTAATTAAAAAAGGGAAAACAGCGAACTAATGGAGGATGTCTGAATATCCTTTTTACAAAGTAGGTTCAGTCGAGAATTTGGGGTCCCCCTCCTTCATTAGCATAGTCATGCATGGAGTCAGCATGGTCGAACTCTTCGTCGCAAGAAAAAAACCCCACTTTGCGTGGCTCTCGGGAATGAAATGATGCATTAAGATTACTACTGAAATGAAATTTTGTCAAACTTATTTTTAAACTTAAATGAACTAAGTTCTTTTTTTACTTTTTTTTCGAATTGAAAGTACGCGACGGGTCAATTCACACGATGTCTTTAAGTATGCAGTTTTTAATGCCCCCAATTACTTATGTTTTGAGAATGGTGATAAAAATTCGTGGATCCAGCCTACTCGGAGAAGGAAAGAGTAAAACTAGTATCACTTTCGGTTTTAGAGAGATGAATCAACATTAAGAACAAATTGGTGGTGTCATATTCTTTTTCTTAGATGAAATAATCATGTGGCTTTTGACTTAATTTAGTTCCTTTTTTTCACGATAAAAAAAAAAACATATTAGCGTATTTAATCTTCCTCTGTGAAGTAACTCGCTTGCTTGCTAAACGAATTGAAAATTAAATCGCGCAGTGCTCGTTAGGGAACAATAGGACAAGAGAGGACTTACCTCACGAGCCATTCTTTCCCGTTGTTATTAAAAGTGTAAGTAAAATTATTTTCTCCAACAGTCCAATCTTCAGAAATGCTATAGTCAGTACAGAAGAAATAAGTTTTGCCAACGTTGATCGAAGACCCACAATGTGGATTGCTACATGCTGCTTGCCACGAGCCTCCGTAAGAAATAAGTTGATTGCTGTTTATCATGCTCTGGTCACACTTAAGATTAGAGCTGGACGATCGTCTCCACCCAATACGAAATGCGAAGTGTACCTAGGAATAGACGGGAAGAGGTGTTAGTCTTTCTGCGCTCCGAAGAGCTTCTCAAAAGCTTACGAACTTTGGAAGAATCGATACGAGCAACCAATCAAGGGATCATAAAGCCAATGATAAGCTTTCAAAGAATTTCTTTGGGAATTCTTCTACTTCAGCTAGGGTGGCTTGATTATATGTAGAAAAAGAGGCTTCCTGTAAACAATGGCATGTCACGGCTCATCGCGAAAATACAATTGTTTCGGGGCAAAGAGCTTCACACTATTTAGATGCTCCGTACCTTTTTCGGATGCTGATGCATTTGTTACTAAAAGCAAAAGTTGATCCTTCTCATCAGCTTTTGTTTATGACCCTTAAAAACCAGCGAACTAGTGAAAAGCCGAGTCATTTCAGAAATATTCAGGTATAATTTATCTCCCTGCTGAGTATGGACTGCTTTTTAATGCTGAAACATCCTAAAGCACTGTCTATCCAAACGGTGGAATAGCAAAGGTTTTTAAACATAACTGGCTCACTCACGCCACTCCCTCCCTGACAGGTAATTTGGGAGAGGGCTATAATTAAAATGTGCGACGTTATTTACAATTCCATAATTTTATCCGAAAAACGTTGAAAATCGCTGCATTGATAATTTTTTTGCAATGGAGGGTTATAAATGATCCAGTTCCCATCAACGGAGACCAATTTTTAGGCATAGGAATACGATGGTAAACTGCTTGATATGCAGTAATTGTATCTTAAGCTCAAGTTAATTGATGTACTGTGTAAAACAAAAAATTCCATCACGAGAGATCATTAATTATTTTTCCAAAGTTTTTATTGCATTTGAATAAATGAAACTGTGTAAAAGCATTTAGATTAAATCATTTGAAATAGAGACATCTTAGGCTCAAGATGATGAAACATTTAAAAAACACTTAAGGAAAATTCTTATTTTACTTGTTCATGAAATGGGAGGCCGGTGCGAAATTAATAAATTTCCATAATGTTTCTGAGGCAAGTCACTTCTAAACCACTCATGTTATTATTACATCGTGTTATATTTATCTTTTCTTAATTTGATTGATCCTGACTCTGCGGTATTAATATTCTTTTAGATACGAAACTAGCTTTCTTGGGGGTCAGCTTCACTTTTTTGTCTAAAAAGAATGTAACTGTGGCGCCCTTGCTTGGGAAATTACTTCTTTGGAGCTAAACCGGCCTCCGTGTATATGACCTTGATCTTTAAAGTTAAATTAGACAAAGAATTAAAACATTTGAAGCATATGAAAAAAACATACTAAGCTTATGACAAGCATGAAAACAACGTAATTAAAAACCCCTAACATCTACACACTACACAAATAATAACATATTATAATATGACGTCTCTTCCAGTTCCTATTTATGATAATATATAGATTATTTAGTCACTGTATATAAGATTTGGTTATACTTGTGGGGAAGGCAATTTATTTGTCACTTTGTGATTTATCATTTCAACCAAGATATAGTTCATCTTACATTGTAATGATTGATACATAATCTACTGTCTCTCCAACAAGGAATTACACCCTACTGCAATTGGCATTTTGCCTTCCTATTCGCCGAGTTAATGACGTTTTTAACATGATATGCGCCCCATATCGAAGAATAACCCCAACCGATTCTCCACCGAACACTCTTGTCTCGACTTTCATTGCCTAAAGCAATGTTCATTTAAAGGTTAATTTCAAACCCGATTTTTATCTATACGTTTTAGTTTCTTTTAAGCAATAAATTGCATTGTAGTTCGAAAAAACTTAGTAAACATAGTTTAGCTAAGTATAGATTATACCAGTAACTAAACATTAGTTAATGGTATAATCGCGAAAATGGGGAAAGTTAGTGATTAAGGGCAACGAAAACAGCAAAAAGGAGCTCCGATTTTCTTTCCCCTCTGATTTCCTGCGATCAACCATGTAGGAATGATCGCAGTCAGTTTTTTCCAATTGGCGACAAGTCGAGAGAACTGCTTTGATTCTTCTTGATTTCGCGAATAGGAAAAGTGTAGGTAATGATTTTGGTCTTTGTTACAAACTGAAAGCTTTGGCCAGTGCCTAAACTATACACACAATGAACAAAGCCAGGTGCTGCTCTAGTAACAATAAGCATTTTAAGATGACTACTTAGAGTACATGAAAAAATTTGTTTTGTTGATAAAACATCTGTGTGTTTTGGCCTAAAAACGTAGAAAAACTCTATGCCCTTTATACTTTTTTTTACTAGCAAACCATTGTAAGGACTTCGCTTTGGACCTACATACATACATACATACATACACACACACATGCGTTAATTGACCACTCCCCATAGGGGCTTTTCAGGGCCAATTCCCACCCAGCAACCACCCTAGGGGAGGACATCCATCACACAGTAATCTTGTGCGTGGGAAATAAACGTCTCCTACCCCTAACCCTTTAGGAGACGGGACCTCCATTTATTCGTCCCTATCCGAGAAGACTAGAGTACCTAACCATTTCTTGATATAGAAAGGTAGCATATTATTCTCACTTGTTTTAAGACCTTGAGTGTTGGTCCGGCCGGCGCTCGAGCCATCGACCTCCCGCTCAACAGTCCAGCGCTCTATCCATTGAGCTAACTGGGTTGACCTAACGATGCGGCGAGAGGGTCAATTAATGTGCAAACCGTTGTTGAATTTGGAGTTATGTATCTTACAGGCTTCTATTTCATGAATATATATCGCAATTTACCAGCGAGATACAGAGTCTGAGCAAAGAAAATCAACGAACTGCCTTCTGAACTGGATTCGGAGACCTAACTGGGCCTAGAGAGGGACAAGGCCACTTAAGTCAAAATTTATCATTCGCGCATGTTTAAGTTCATTTCCTTCTTTTAGTATTCAGCCAAAACATTTAAGTAATGGTTTATGATTGTTTTCGCAAAGACCTTTTTTAAGGCATGTACTGGCTTTTAGAGTATTCTCCCGAATTTGTTAGGTAAGACTGTCAGAATTGATTTTCCTCTTCGCCCCATGACTGCTCGCCAGATCTCAGAGAAATTAATACGCATGATGTTCGACTGAAACTCTTTTATTTTCAATGCATCACTTTTTTTTCTTAGATACAAATACTTAAAATATAGCCAAACAACTCTAATTAGAAACATATTCAAAGGGCCAAACCATGACCGACCTTGGACTTCAAAATCATTCAAACAACGAAAGCACGTGTTTAGTATGATAAGCGCATGATAAATGTGCTGGGACATGATAGGAACACCTTAACATCTGAATGCCTCACAACATTGAAGAGGGCTGCTTTTAATGACCTGATTCTTACTTTGCCACCAACAGTTTTCTACAACTAGAAGAGCAGCTTTTTCAATAATTCTTGCATGGTGACCTTCATCCCATTAGCCCTTTAGATTTCAGAATTGTTTAACATTTTTATTCTTCCGACACTCTAAATATGTTATCTAATAACATTACATAAACGTATCAACTTTAAGGGCGTTGTCTTGACAAACATACAGTTTTCAGTAGTTAGTTAAAAGGAAATACATTGAAGATGGATGGGAGAATTTTCGGATATATTTCGGGAGTCCGGGGGCTAAGATTGAAGACTTATCACAGCATTTCTTTTTTTTTTCACCCTGATAACTACTCATCGTGGAGTTTTACGGAGTTTTAGTTTACATACGGCAAAAAGTCCACTAGTTTGTGAACTCTTTTTGACACGCATATTTCCAAATCTCTCTATCTTTACACTTTGAAACTTAATTTCACTTGAACATTCAAGTTACTCTGAATTGCAATAGGTGTGGCGTAGACATCTTAGCTATCCTCATTTAATTTACTATTGCCTCCTTTTTCTTTTTCCACTAAAGAAAGAAATGATTTCAGGTACGTTTTCATACGAATGCTAAGAAAATCACGCTAAGAAAACCATGCAAATTAATTCTCGAAGATCAACTCGAGGTGGCATTAGGAAAGATTTACACCAAGTCCAACTACATACAAACTTCAATAATGAACTCAATGTCATTGACTTAGGTAACTATAGTATAGGTCAGTGGCTATTTTGAGACATTTATTCGAAAAGCTCCATACCTTACTGCTGTTATAATCATCTGGAGCCCACATTATACTGCCGTGTCTGAAGTGCGAAGCTTCAGTCGTAATGCAGACAACCAAAAGAATAAAGATCCACCAAGCAGGGAGACAGCACCTCATATCATACTTTGCCAGTTTCGGCAGTAAATCTTGAAGTCAAAAAGTGTAGAACACTGAATATAATTACAGTGCTTAGCTTGTTGGGTTTAAAACAGGAGCCGAAGAACTCTGATTTAGGACTCCTTAAATATGTAATGAGACGACTTTTGATCTGGTCTTATCACATGATGTTTTTTTAAAAAAGGGATCCTGTGTATTTCAGCTGGCCCCACTTATTAATGAATGGTAATAAGATCGGGTGGAGTCCAATTCGGTCAGTAACTCAAACGAACAATTAAATAAATGGGACGACCACAACGCGGGAGTTCTAATAGTAAATCACGAGTTAGATTAATGACCAAATTGGACGACATGAAGTTCTGTTACCAATTAATCATAACCATTACAATTTCCGTGAAAATGCAAGTATATAAATTCTCTTAAAGAACCTGTAATTGTAAACTTTGAACTCTGCACTCAACTAATACAATCTTCATCTTCTTCTCCTTCTAATTCTTTATTTCCTCTGTTTTTCGGAAATCCCTACCTCTAGATGGTAAGTTGTTGCCATGGTTCTTAATTCAATTCTGTGATTGGTGGACTTACTTGAGTATTGACCCGCAGTGCGTTCGGCTGATGTAACTGTCCGATTACAGGTGTCCAATGACAAGCAACCATCCAATACACCATTGTTTTCGTTTTGCAATGGTGTGCTATTCTGATATCCCCATTACTTTTCTCTAGATCTCCAACGTGATGACAATCCTAACAACGTCACGACGTCAGTGGGTGATTTGGACGCAGATATTAAACGCTTTTCAGGAAATCAAGGTGAGTGTGAAAATTGATAATTTCTAATCAAGCCCTCCTCCCTCTATTCAATGGTTGGAAATTAAACTGCATTAAGAAAATCTTTAGTCAATATCTTTTTCATTTAGCAATCAGGAAGGCGGAAGTAACCTTGGACAAGTCCCGTGTTAATTTGTGACTGGCTACAATGGCGCGGGTGGCTTGAACAGGAGTGTGGTTATTCAATCTATTCAATTCTGCCTATTGGAGAGTTGTATTTTTATTTTCAGTGCTCCAAAAAATTTTCCCAGATCGTGTTTTATATTAAGTAACCTACTTCATAACGAAGGCTGGAATAGGGAATCAATGGAATCAATCTTTCCTCAAACCCGGTAAGATTTATGCAGAATAAAGTTGTTTGACATTGATTTTTAGTTACCAATAATATGTTAAGCTAGGTAGGTACAATAGAACTATTTAATCTACGCTTATAAACCACTGCGATGGTGTTATGTACAATACTTTGAAAAATTATCTGCCATATGAAACTCAGACCAGGTTGGAGGCTAGTCCGTTTATTTAACTTTGCTCTCTTTGATCATCTATGATTCATTTTGAGGAACTGGTTCTGTTTTCTGGTGAGATTAGAAACTTTTTATAGTGAAAAGGCAAGATTTCTGTAGAACCTCAGGCTTCATTATTTTACCAGATAAGTCAGGAAACAATGGTAAAGGCAATATATTTCCTTTGGGACTACGGCTTTCTTTAAGCAATAGTAAACATTTTTCTGGGCTCTATATCGTGATAAAACAGGATGTTAAAACAACATGCGGAAAGGCAAGTGATTTATGATACTTCGGAGTGGTCTCCCAACATCCTAATTGACTTTGTCACGTTATAGAGCCCAGAAAAATGTGTTTTATTGCTTTTTTGACATAACTAGTTGTCACCGATCAAAATTGGGGCTCTTTAACATGATAAACAACCTGCTTGGAAACTGAGTAGGCCAATCAGAAGATGTGTACCATGTTGAACATTATGTTATGATTTAAAATAGTGAAAAGTTATGCATAAATTTTTCCAGTTAAAAACCTAAATGGTTTGTAAAAAATTAAAAAAAAAAAACAGTTTTTACTAGATATTCCCCTCTCCACTCCCAATAACCCACCTCCTTTAATATAACTCAGCCTTTAATTCCCAGAAGTGATGTGGCGAAGGTTATCCAAACAAAATAAAACTTGGACAACGAGCGAGAACAGCAAAAGGTTTTAATTAGCAATCCGAAAACTATACAATAACACAACAAGATGGCGGGTCAGGCGAGCGCATGTTTTTGTCTCTAGACTGTGGGGGACTAAGTTCTATTTTGGTAGAATCCGCTGGCTAACGGGTTGTTGGCAACAAGTGATTAATAAACAACTTCTCCCTGTAACATCCATACAATATCTAGGGAACAGGTTATGGCCAATCATCTTAAGTTCCAGAGAAATAATTGCTTAATTAGTATTACTTCCAATTCAATTGCAGGTGAGTCAACACACCTTGGAAATATTTCTTATTAGACGTTTCAGTATGTAGTATGGATGAGATTTTTTATGAATTGTGCTGTATAATTTGATGAGGCTGCAGGGCAAGTAAAATTACAGAAATTTTGATTTAATGCGCATTTCTTATAAAGCAGGCAAAGGATGATAGATAGAGCAGTGTAGCAATATGTGCGGTGCAGCTGACCAGTTAAACAAGATTTTTAACAATACATTCTCAAACTCATCAATAATTCATCAAGTTACAAACCAATCACGATACGCCAATTTCGCCACATGTGTGTGTTTAGAAACTCCGATGAAACACAGGACAGAGGCTTTTCCAATATACTTTGATGAAAAATCAACCCCTAGAGCTTGATAAAATGTCAAACCCCACTGATGGAGAATTTATCCGCGTACGATGCCAAAATCAGTCAGAAATTTTTCATTGTTCTTGACTTATGATGCACGATTGAGAAGCAATTTCAAAAACTCGTGCTTCGTGTTTTATCGGGGATTTCAAACACTCGAAATCAACAAAAGCACTCGGCCTACGGCCTCGTGCTTTCATCATTTTTCTCGTGTTTGGAAACCCTGATGAAACACTCGCACTCGTTTTTGAAATATTGCGTAACTAACTGTTCAACTATTGCATGATATTTTATAATCAATTTGAGTGTTGTTTGTACTCTGCTTTTATAGTGCTGTTGGATGATAATTTGCATTAGTCAATCCTCATAATATGCAACATTTAATTTTACAGGATTATGCTCTGAAAATGGGAGATTGAGATTAATTGAGCCAGAGTCTCTAGCAGTCAGACATCATTTCTAAGCAGTGGTTGTTTTACTCTGAAAAACAATTGTTGGCTGAACTAGGTAAATGGAACTCTAGTTTTCATTACGGCTAATACTGTGGGGATATTTGGGCTTGATATTGCATTTGGGCAATCATTCAAGGCTAACCTTGCTCACTAGAAATCTTTTTTGTAATTAATTAATATACATGTCTACAGCCTTATAGCGTGGGCCGTAAGAGCTTGAACTTAGTTCTGAGCCAGATTTCATGTCCTTTTGTATTTGGTTGCCCTCCTTTTGTTCCCTGTTTTGCTATGAATCATTGTCATAGCATTTAAACTGGTGTGATATTGTTTATTCTGGATGACTTTTTTACCAAAGATTTTTGTCATTTATTGTAGGTATTTTGATGTTTGCCTGAAACATGCAAAATAAACCAAATGGCACAGTCCCTATACAATATCTATTTCCTGTTGCGAAGTGAAGTTTCTAAAGAAACTGCAGTACTGTCTTGGTG